TTCCTCATACGAAGTCAGATTTGGGCGTTCTTTTTATGCATGTTCACGTTTTAATGATATCTACGACTTTCATTTAGATATCTAAGGCTAAAAAGTATTTTATTTAAATTTCTCGTTTTATGTTTAGCAACGCTTTACTGGTAGTGTTATGAATCTTTGATTAGTCATAACTCCTGCGTTATAACTCGGATTTTAGTGTTCTTTATATTTTTGGAAACCTTATCACGATATCTACCACATAATGTACTCAAACAGAGCTTTTTGAACATTTCATTTTCGATGACATTCTTATTACTTCACAAAGAGATTACAAGACTCGATTTTTAGACATTACATTGACCTGAAATAACGGGTTGTTTCAGCTTGTACTTAACAGAACCCAATATTACTAAACTAGGTAAGGAAATTTGGTTTTTGTCCATATTTAGGTAAGTATGTTTTTTTCGTACAAATTTGACCAGTAAAGTTGTTTGACCTATTAATATTCATAATAGGGTAATGTTACCACTAATTATCGGTCATATTACCCTATTTTGAACAGGTCAAACAAGTTTAATGGTCAAATGTGAACGAAAAAAATATGGTTACCTAAATGTGGACAAATACCAAAGTTCGTTACATTTATAGGTCATTAACCCTAATAATAATAAGATTTTTGTTTATAGAAAAGTCATAATATTTTTATTTGCATAAATGTCTTGTAAACTCGCAAATTCGGGCTAGTCAATTTAGAAACCATGAGCGTCAAAAATGACTTTTTGATAGAAGATTATTTAGAATAAATAATCTTAACCAAGTTATAGTATATGTCACAAAGTTTCCGTACATATAAAGAACGCCGAAATCTAAATTATAACGAAGAAGTTATGACCTGTTGAATTTTACGGCAAAACTAACAAGGCACCGAGAATCGTAAAAAGTGAAATTTTGATAAAATGTTTTTAGCCTTAGATATCTGAATGAAAATTGTAGTATATGTTAAACCGAGAGCATGCATAAAAAGAACGTCAAAATCTGACTTCGTATGAGGAAGTTATGATTATTCTAAGATTTCGCATAGCAGTATACAGACTAAAATTCGAATATTAGATCGAACGATTTTTAGCCGAAATAACCTACACGAGAATCGAAGGTCTCATTAATAGTAACTCAACAGTAAAAAGACAGATGAAAACGAACGTCGGATGAAGAAGTTATGAATTTTTAACGGACTTTTCGTGTCCCGGCCTATTAAAAATATATACTTAAAAATAAAGTCAAGATTAGCCAACGGAGTCTAAATCAAAGTTGTAAAGTACGGTCTCACCTACGTGTGGATATAAAGAACGTCAAAAACTGAACACGTATGCAAAAGTTTTGAAATTTAGAAGATAATTAGTTTTTAGAGTAACCAGCGAGTAACACGTGGCACAATCTGAGTCGCACATTCTTCCCCATGACTTTGCATGAGATCGCTACACATGGAGAATTACGCCCAACTTAATTTTAAGTACGCTTAACGTAACCCTTAAAAACCCATTACGCTCAGCGTAATTCTTGAGTACACTTAGTTTACTCGGCGCTGACAGCCTATAAATAGAGGCGTTTTTCCTCATATGATGAACGGGAATTGGACTCTAATATTTGAATTGGACTCTAAAAGACCTGAGTCTAAGTGTTGCATCATACGATGAGAGGTCATTAGAACATGACCTGTCGGTCTATTATAATAATCGAAGGAAAGAAATTATCTTAAGTTTGTTAAGAAGAAGAAGGAGTCTCCAATAAGGATCGAGATTGTGGCTTAAATGTCACGATTGAAAGTCCAACATGAGATAGAGAGCAGGTGTAAGACTGAACACCGTATGTAATAAGAAGTCCAAGAGACAGATATTTATTCGAAGGAACATAGAAGTTACGATTATCACCTAGTATTAAGAGATAACATATGGAGTCATATAACAAGCCCTATTTTATTGATGATTCCAGGACGTAATCATCCTAAGGGGGAGATAACTATAACACCTACAAATTCGGGCTAGCCAATTTAGAGACAATGAACATCAAAAATGAATTTTTGATAGAAGATTATTTAGAATAAATAATCTTAACCAAGTTATAGTATATGTCACAAAGTTTCCGTACATATAAAGAACACCGAAATCCGAGTTATAACACAGAAGTTATGACATGTTGAAGTTTTACAGCAAAACCGACACGTCACCGGGAATTGTAAGAACTAAATTTTTGATAAAATATTTTTTAGCCTTACATATCTCAATGAAAATTGTATTATATGTTAAACCGAGAGTGTGCATAAAAAGAACGTCAAAATCTGACTTCGTATGAGGAAGTTATGATTTTTCTAAGATTTCGCATATTAGTATACGAATGTTGGATGAAGAACTTATGAATTTTTAATGGACTTTTCCTGTCCTGGCTTGTTAAAAATATAACTTTAAAAATAAAGTCAAAATTAGCCAACGGAGTCTAATAAAAGTTGTAGAGTATGGTCTCACCTACGCGTGGATATAAAGAACGTCAAAAACGAAGCTCGTATGCAAAATTACGGATTTTAGAAGATAATTAGTTTTTAGAGTAAACAGTGAGTGACACGTGACACAATCTGAGCCGCACCTTCTTCCTCACGGATTTGCATGAGATCGCGACACATGGCACATTACGCCCAACGTAATTTTGAGTACGTTTAGCGTAACCCTTAAAAGCCCATTACGCTCAACGTAATTCTTGAGTATGCTTAGCGTACTCGGCGCTGACAGCCTATAAATAGAGGCGTTTTTCCTCATTTTTCTCCACACCTTTTCTCAAATTCTCTCCCAAATATCCCCAAAGCCTCAAGGCTTTTCTCTAGCCTTTCTTAGGAGTTAGTAGCAAGTCCCAAAGCGCCTAAAGGCCCTAGGAAGAAGAGCTTTCGGCTCAGAAGTTCTGCCCGCGCAGAGCCCGGTTCTTTGCTAGACTCCAATATAAGTGAGTTATGTCTACCCTACTTTAAATATAGCTTATGTTTAAATATAATATCGTTATTATGAACCTATAAATAAGATTTATCAACGATTCGAAGTCATTATACTGATTGATCTACTTATAGGAATGATGTCTAGGTTGTGATTTAGTGAGGTGTTTAAAGTGGGATTTCCAAACAGTATACTTCATATACCAAACGGACCCTACCTCCGATATGATCCTACCTGGTTGTTCCATACTTGATAGACCATGAAGTAGACTCTGCGTTAATGACGAATCTAGAGTAATAATTGGTCGCAATAAATATTAGACTAAAATCTAGTGGTAATAATACTAGGTTTCGTCGAAGGAAATCATATTGTTAAGAAGCGAAGCGCTGCTTGAATTTCGAGTCGTCACTTTCACAAGTGAATGCATAGTTACTTTCATCTTACACATAAATATGAAGTATTCTATATAAATTACATGTTATGTGTGCATGTTATCTGTTTACTTGATATCTATGATAGATGTACGATCTTATACATGTTTTAAATGCTTTAAACTGTATATGTATTTTATATCTACAAAATATGTTGGGTAAAACATAAGTAGATGAATGATAAGGAATGAAAGCTGATATAAAGGGAAATTGGCAGTTATAGACATAGTGCTCTATAGGTGAACAATGACAGTAATGAACTTAGTACCCTATAGATGAGCATTGGCACCTGTGCCACAACCTGTAGATGTTTTGATCTTCAATGTACTCTAAACATCCTAACATGTTTTGATCGACATTCGCGCCTAATAGAGAACGTTATAACCCTGGCAGTTGCGCCCAAAGGACAATATCGGCAGTTGCGCCTAATAGAGAATGTCACAATTCTGGCGGCTATGCCTAAATGATAATATTGACAGTTGTGCTTAATAGATAATATTGACAACTGTGTCATTGGCAACGATGGACTTTGTGCCTACTCCTTAGGACAATCCTTAGGACCGAATGATAAATGATTCTTAGGGTTGATCCTTAGTAAATAAAGAAGATAATGAAGATATGTAACTGAGTTGATTGTTTAATGATTAAATATAATTATATTATTGAAAACCCTATGTACTCACCAGGTTTCCCAACTTAACCCACTCAAGTTTATTTGTATTGCAGATGTCAATATGAAGCTACATTCACCAAGGGATTAAGGAAACGTATATTGTAAATGAATGTAAGGTCAGTTTATGCTTATATTTATGTATTGACAATGACATCAATAAAATACATTTCTTCGGAAATGCTTTGATAAATTTATCATGTTTTTCTTAGAACAAATTCCGATATTCTGATTTTCAAAATAAGGATAAACAAATTAATTTGACTAATTCGTAAACTGATCCGACTAGTTAAAAAGGATCAAAATGAAAACTTTCTTTAAAAATATTTATTTGGAGATTTATTTATTTATTTTATTTATAAGAGAAAGAAGAATAAGATGAAAACAAAAATTAAAATTTTAAAAGTCGTATGAAATTATATTTAAACGGGGAAAAAATAATTACAAAAAAAGACTTCATTTTCTAAAAATATAAAAATCAAAACCAAAAATTGTCAACGAAACTGAACTACATTTTACCGCGTACACACGCTAGTAAGGACCTTTGGTTTTTCAATCAGTTTACTTCGCAAATTCTTCCAGGATTAATAAACACAAAGATTCGTCAATGGTGTTCCTCGAGATGCAGCGACTTTGAGTTCAAGCAATTTCCGAGGTAATACCCTGAACTTTTGGTCGAATTTCGTGTGGATTCATGTCTATATTCGACTGTATATGATGGATTTAAACTACAGAACCCAACACAAATCGTTAGAAATCGGATATCTGACCGAGATTTTGTTTCTGGGCGTGAAGAACTCCTCAAAGACGCAAGCAACCCGTTCGATGAAATGCCTCAATGACAAAATATTACAGGTTACCTGGTTACGTAATCCGTAATACACCTCAAATTCATTGACATGCATATGGACTTTATATATATTCACATCAACATTATTGCAAAACATCGACACTTAACATACTAGACAATCGTCATAAATCATAATAGTTCTAATCTATTCAACTTTCTTCTCCTTCGCCTCCTTTCCTGGTGAGTTGACTTTGTCTTTGACTTTATCCATTAGATTCTGCACATTCTTCTTCATCGTACTGTAAAATTTCATACTCTGCATCTGCAACCTCTCCCCATGCTCCCTTATCTTATCATCATATTTCATCCAAATCACAGGCGCACTCATACCCACCATAGTTCCTGCACACAACACCAACTCATATCATCATCATCTAACGACAATAAATCAAACAGTTGGTGGGCATAAGGTAAATAGCTACATACCTATGTATAGAAGAGTAAGTAGGTCTGAACAACTGCCAATGACGGAAAGTAGCCACAGTCCAGCAACCGCCGCCGCAAAAACATACCACTCGCTTTGAGCACCAACTTTAAACACCCACCTCATCGCCTCCTCGCCGGAAACCCTTATCCAGTTTGCAATTCCGGTGACTGTCTTCTCCGATATCCCTAGCCCCGACATACTCGGCTCCTCTCTGTGGAATAACCAATAGAATTATAACTGGGATATTCATGAACGCCAAGTGTTCGATGAAATGACTTACTTGTAAATGAGCTTATAAACATTAGCCCAAGTGAAAAGAGATGACACGAGAAAGATGCCAATCCATGAAGCGACGGTGATGAAATTGAAGCCGTAAACTTCCATCACCACCCATAAAACCGTCGCGGTGGTCACCACCCCTAAACTAACTCGCTTTTTCCTCCACATTATTACGTCTTTCATGGAGTAATTACCATGATCTTGATGCAATTCGTCTGTATTAATTAATTGATTAGATATGTACACACACACACAGAGAGAGAGAGAGAGAGAGAGAGAGAGAGAGAGAGAGAGACCTGTTGATGAATGAGAATGAGGGTGAGTTGTTGTTTCAGACATTTCCGATGATGAAGGAGGATCGTGTGTTGGTTCTGCCATTTTCGTAGATTGTTGGAGCGATTTCTGAGTTGTGTATGGTGTATAAGGTATAGAAGCTTTCTTCGGTTGTATTCTGAATGGAAGAGAGGCAGATGAAAAGGGAAGAACTAGAGTGCCTAGGTGTCATAGGAAGATAACACGTGGCAGACATAGGGTAATACGTGGAGGACATTCATGCACACCGACGATGCTTCTTCTGATGATTTTATTCTTTTTCGTTCTTATCTTTCAAAATCGGCCGGGCTCGGTACGAGGTTTTATTTTGTAAACGGTTGGTTGGATTTGGAAAATTCACAAATCATAGCTAAAGAGTTATATACATATAAATGAAAAGAAAAAAAAAAACATAATTTAACTAAGGTCTATTAAGGTTACGTTTTCATGAACCAAGTATTTTAATATCTGAGTTTCGAACAATAATATATTCGAATAGTTTGAGCGCAAGCTAAGCTCGACTTGAAATAGATTAAATCGATTTCGAGTATTGAATGGATTCGATTCAAGTATATAATGAGTCTATTACATTTAAATTGTTTGAACGATTATAAAGTTAAACTAGGGATGTGCTTCGGACCGATCCGAACCAACCTGAACCCAAACAATCCAAAACCCAAATTGGATGAAAAGTGGGAACCGAAACCCGGATTGATTATACTAATACGAGACCGGTTCGGATCGGGTAATACAGGTTTCGGTTCGGTTATTAACCCGAAATAACCCAAATAAACATGTACACTATATTTTTGACCCAAATAACCCAAATTAACCGGAATGATCAAAATAACGAATAACCCAAATAAAAAAAAATCTATTTCTGGTCAAGAAAATAAATAATAAACATTGATAATTCATATTCCAAAAATTCATAATTATAGTCCAAAAATCTCTAATTCATAGTCCAAAAATCCATAATTCATGATTAAACATTAAACATTAAACACCCAAATTAAAATATGAATATTAAGTTTTTTACAAAATAACAATGACCAAATACAAATTAATTCCTCGGGAATATTGATTGGTTGTTTTCCCTTTCCACCTCCATTGTTTATCGCGTTTTCCAATCCTTTTGCGACGTCATCATCTTTCAAAACTTCATCAATGTTGTCCACAACTGAATTTCTTGATTTCTTTACCCAATCTTGGGTGCAAACCAAGGCCTCTAATATATTAGCGAACAAATTTGTTCGATATGGATCTAATATCCGCTCACTTGTACTAAAAGCCGCCTCGGACGCCACAGTAGAAATTTTTAATCCCAAAATATCTATCAACATAAAGAAAGAAAGTGTTAAAATATAATTATAAAAAAAGTATACAAATAAATAAAGTTACACCTTTCACAATACGAGCTAGAATAGGGTAAAGAGATGCATTTTGTTTACACCAAAGTAGAATGTCAAAATCTTTATTGTATTTAAGTGGTCGCTCGTTTAGGTATTGTGTCAACTCCGTTTCTGTAGATGCTGATGGGTAATTCGCTTGTACTATTAAATCACCCATAAAGTCATTTTCGTCATCAAGCATAATTGCATCTTCATGAGCACATGTTTGACTTTGAGAAGACTCGGTATTGTCGAACTTTGCTTTGTAAAAATTAAAAAATTTCTCAAATTTTTTCATTTCCCGTATTAAGGCCTTAGCCTTCAAAGTGACTTTCCGAGTTAAATATGGGAGGTTCTCCAGTATTCTTCAACTTAATCAACTTCTCAAAGGCTTGTTGAAGAAACTCAAACTTCAACCGTGGATCTAATACGATCATAAAGTACAAAAAGTCATTTAATTTTTCAAGATCGCCCCAATAATTTTCATATTTCTGCATCATATTGATCCCGTTCAAGCAAAATTGGGGAGTTGACACCCAATCTCTAATGTGGTTGTACACATCGCATATTTCTGCCAAAAAAAAAAAACCGATGTGTCATAGGTTTTTTTGACGTCGATATTATGTCGGTTATTACATTGAATTTATCGAGAAATCCAATCATAGCTCTACAAATTTTGAAATCTTCTTCTACGGGGGACACAACATCTCAAACATATGTAGGATCTATTAAAATAAAATAAGTGTTAGTTAAAAAAAACATAGCTTCCATCCCTCATGTTTAAGAGTCTATATCTCATTGAATATACAACCAAAATAGCATAAAAATAGTGTAAAATGAATGTTAAATTGTGATCTACATGCTGGGAAAAAAATCAAGCAAATTGGACAGATAATGAAGAAGATATGGCAGTTCAAAGTGGACATAAAAATCAGCAAACATGCTGAATCACAAAAAACAGCTTCGATACCCCATGTTTAAGAGCCTATATCTCATTGAATATACAACCAAAAATAGCACAAAAATAGTGTAAACTCAATGTTAAATACTTAAATTGTGATCTACATGCTGGAAAAAAAATCAGGTAAATTAGACAGATAATGAAGAAGATATGACAGTTCAAAGTGGACATAAAAATCTACATACATGCTGAATCACAAAAAACAGCTTCAATACCCCATGTTTGAGTGCCTATATCTCATTGAATATTCAACCAAAATAGCATAAAAATATTGTAAACTGAATGTTGAATTGTGATCTACATGCTGGAAAAAAATCAAGCAAATTGGACAGATGATGAAGAAGATATGGCAGTTCAAAGTGGACATAAAAATCTGCATACATGCTGAATCACAAAAAACGACTTCAGTAGCCCATGTTTAAGTGCCTATATCTCATTGAATATTCAACCAAAAATAGCATAAAAATAGTGTAAACTCAATGTTAAATTGTGATCTACATGCTGGAAAAAAAATCCAGCAAATTGGACAGATAATGAAGAAGATATGACAGTTCAAAGTAGAGTTCTATCGGGTTGGGGAATCATTGCACAAAAACTTCTTGGATTTCATATTTAACTCTTTCATGCATTCTTTGAACCTTTGAATTCGTTGAGTGGAATTCCTAATATATCTAACCGCCTTTTGCATGCACTTAATACTAGATTGGTGTTCATCAAACTCATCATTAACAATAAGGTTTAGGATGTGGGCCATACACCTTACGTGTAATTGTTTCCCCCCATCGTATAAGTTTGGTAGTTTTTTCATTAGAAATTCAATTGCTTTGTCATTGGAAGTAGCATTGTCTACGGTTATGGTCATTACATTATTGATACCCCACTCTTCAAGATAAGTCAACAACGTGCGCCCAATATCTTCTCTCCTATGACTATCTAAAGATTTAAAGTTGATAACTCTTTTGTGCATGACCCAATCTTTATCAATAAAGTGGGTCGTGACCACCATATAGCTCGATCGTTGACATGAACTTGTCCAACAATCGGTGGTCAAATGCACATTCGGTAGGGGATTACTAAAGAACTTATTCAACTTTGCCTTTTCTTCAACATAATAATCGACAACTCTTTTTGAAACTGTGGTTCTACAAGGCAAAACCACTTTCCCGTTCAATGCATTGGTATACTCAATAAATGTTTCATTCTCTACAAACTTAAACGGTAATTCTCCAACTACAAATAAGTTTAACAAAGCTTTTTTTATTCTTTTCTCATCATGCTTCCAAGTGCCAATACTATTCTCCTCATTTTCATTTTTTTTTTGAAATTTAAAGTGCTTTGTTTTTTTAAATTTTCTTCTAAAATTTTTGGGTTTTGTTTACATCTTTTTGTATGTCTAATCATACTAGATGTACCGTTTTCGTCGGACTCGGTTTTGAACAACGTGTCACACCATTTGCATTTGCTATGTTGAACGTTGTTAACCTCAAGTTCATCATAATCGGCCCAACAAGCCGTTGTTTTGGCATATTTCTTCTTCTTCTTTGTTGTTTGACATTTTCCGTCTTTGTTGTCAATTTGAGTGTTATCAACCAAAACATCTTCATCATCAATCTAAAACACAATAACAAAATGATTTTAATATCATCAAATAGAAAAATATGTTCTTTATCATTGAAATACAATCATTAATCTGAATTACAATAACACAATGATTTATAATCACATAATACATTGAAATAGATTAACAATATTAACATAGCATATTATATTTAATATGATATAATATCAATGATAACACTTTGAAATAATAACATCATAACTGTTGGAATCCTAAGTCTTGGGGTCCAAACAATCTAATTTATGGAAAGTTTAGTTTATGACAAGTTGGTCATAAGTTTCCTAGTCTAATACAAGTTGGTATGTTAGGCTATATATACGTGTCCATAATCGAGTTTATGATTATGAGAACAGATAGTAAAAACATTGGTTTTGAGTAATTTTCCAATTAATCAAAGAGTTATTTTGGTTATTTGTTTTGCATTCTTGTTTTCAAAACTTTAATTGGTATCAGAGCTTAGGTTGAGAAGTTGTGAGATCGATTTGTACTTGTTGACGACTCAGGTCAACATGACAAATACAGGGGGAGAAGGAGAAGCTCTGGTGAGAGTGAAGGAGGTTGGGACAACCTCAGTTTCGCATCTGATGCTCACATCCACTAACTACACCGTGTGGGCAATGCGTATGAAGGTTGTCTTGCGCATCCACAAAGCCTGGACTGTTATTGATCCAGGAACCGATGTCAATGAAGAAAAGGACTGCCTTGCCATGGGTTTGCTATATCAATCCCTACCAGAAAACCTCATAATATAGATTGGAGATCAGGATTCGGCCAAGAAATTGTGGGATGCGATTAGAGCACGTAATGTGGGCGCATATAGAGTTAAAGAAGCGAGATTACAAGCCTTGATGTCGGAATTCGATCGCCTGAAGATGCTCGAGTCAGAAACAATCGACAGCTTTACCGGAAAGCTGTCCGGAATCGCGTCTACATCGTCGGCATTAGGAGAAACGATTGAGGAATCAAAATTGGTGAAGAAATTCCTCAAATCATTACCCAGAAACTTCATTCACATCATTGCATCTCTTGAACATGTACTAGATTTAAAATCGGTAGGGTTTGAAGACGTAGTGGGTCGATTAAAGGCATACGAAGAAAGAACAAGGGAAGAAGATATTAGCGAGGCAGATCAGTCGAAGGTGCTATTTGTGAAATCGACGTCTGAAGTAGGAAGCTCGTCGACTGGTGGAGGTAACTCATCGGGAACGAAGGGAAACTGGAAAGGATCGAATGCGTCTAATAAAGCGAATGAGTTTAATGGGACTAATGCGTCGAGTGGATCCGGGTCTGGAGGGTCATATGGGTCAGGCGAGCCCAAAGGGAATAATAGGGTTTCTCAAAGCAATCGGCCCAATAAACTGTCCAATTCTAATTCCGATTGCAAAAATTGTAATTGTTGTTGTGGCAAGAATCGGAAAAATAGGGAAAAGGATCGATCTAAGGTGATTTGTTTTCGGTGTGACAAACCGGGTCACTTTGCTTCTGAATGTCCGGAACGACTCCAAAAATTACAAGACGGTGATTTTTCGGAACGTGACGATAGTGACGAATCCGTTTTTTAAATACGGATCGGGTTGAAGAATTCTCTAGAAGGACTTAGAGATTCCGGGGTGATTATTGGAATCCTAAGTCTTGGGGTCCAAGCAATCTAATTTATGGAAAGTTTAGTTTATGACAAGTTGGTCATAAGTTTCCTAGTCTAATACAAGTTGGTATGTTAGGCTATATATACGTGTCCATAATCGAGTTTATGATTATGAGAACAGATTGTAAAAACATTTGTTTTGAGTGATTTTCCAATTAATCAAAGAGTTATTTTGGTTATTTGTTTTGAATTCTTGTTTTCAAAACTTTAATAACAATTAAAAGAATAACAGTAGATTAAGATAATGATGCTTCCTTGAGTTTGTTGACTTGGAATCCAATTGTTCATGATTTAGAATGATTCCTTGGAGATGAAGATTAGAATTCGATTTCTTGATAGTTGAGTTTAGGTCGATTTCTTGAATGCTTGACTTGATTTTTTTTTGGTGATCGATCACAGTAAACGATCGTAGGTGTGGAGGATTTTTTTATTATTTTTTTTTGTGTTGCAAAGCCGCTCGATGAGTCGATGGAACTCAATTGCTTAATCGAAAAAGTGGAAACTGGGAATGATGATCGATTGATCGACTAGGGCAAACTGGAGTTTTTTTTTGAAACTCCGATGATAGCGAGATACGGCATTTGCACGACTGACATGAGTTGATACACAATACGCACGACCAAACTGATTAAGTGACCATTCATTTTCTCGACCGGTCTTTTTGGCCCGATTAATTCTTTATTTGGGTAACCCGGACCGAATAACCCGAAACCCGAATTGGGACAAATAAATACCTGAGAACCGACCCAAATAAATAATCCGGTCCTAATTCGGGTCGGTCCGGTCCGGGTTTCGGTTTCGGTTCAGGTATTCTGTCCAAACGCACATCCCTAAGTTAAACTATGCGAGAAACTGCACATTACTTTACCCTAGTAAGGTCAGAAGGAGTCGGTGCGGGAAGGAGGCGCGGGGCGTTCTGTTCCGCCGAACATCGCCTTGTGGCTGCGGGTAGCGTTGCACGGGAAGAAGCCAAGGGGAAGGGTTGGCGCATTCTAGCTCCACTAGTGATTTGATAGGAAGATTTAATTAATGATTATTATTATTATTATTATTATTATTAGTAGTAGTAGTAGT